CGCCGGTAAGCGTACTCGTGCTCTGAATGTGCGTTTCTTCTTTATTCACGACCAAGTGAAGCAGGGAAATGTACGAGTGGTGTATTGTCCCACACAGGACATGCACGGGGACTTTCTCACGAAGCCCCTCCAAGGTGCCCTATTCCATGCGCATCGCGCTTTTATTATGGGGCATCCTCCTATTTAGTTTAGTTTTAATCGTTCCGTGGATCCATTAGGGACCACGGCAGGAGTGTGTTGGCCGGTCTAGATATTTAGCGGACCCGGATAAGAAAAAGACCGCACCGACGTAGAATTTTAAGGAAACTGGCATTCTCAGAATCCAGATTTCAGAGCAACCTGGCAGAAAGATCATTCTTTCTGCTCAGCTCGCCCAAATCAACAAATTAACTTGATATTAGCCAGTAGCTACAGTGTTGCCTACCCAACAGGTGGATGCATCATTTGCAGTCCATCCTGATTACCGTTCCCATACAGGAGGAGTCATGTCCTTTGGAAGTGGCGCGGTGCTGTCTGTGTCTGCGAAACAGAAATTGAATTCGAGGAGCAGCACGGAAGCGGAATTGATTGGAGCTGACGATGTCATGTCGCCCATGCTGTGGGCAAAGTTGTTCCTTGAAGAGCAGGGGATAGTTGTGAAGGACAACATCCTCATGCAGGACAACAAAAGCACGATCATTCTTGCAGAAAATGGCAAAGGCAGTTCGGGCAAAAGAACTCGGGCCATCAACATTCGTTTCTTTTTTATTCATGACCAGATTGGAAAAGGCAACCTTAGAGTTGTGTACTGCTCAACCTTGGAAATGCGTGGAGATTTCTTCACGAAGCCCCTTCAGGGCAAGCTCTTCCACGAGCACAGGGCTTTCATCATGGGGCATCCACCCCTTGTTTGATTGCCTAATTTATTTTATTCGTTCCACGGTAGCCACTTAGGGCACCGTGCAGGAGTGTGTTGGAGGAAATATACCTGACACCTCTTTACTATTGACTCGTGTATTAAACATCTAGTCCAGTTCGCATGCATATTCATGATGCAAGGAACCAAGGGAGTTTTAGGTCTAAAGTGTTACGGGGGTCCTTATATCCAATTCAATCACAAGAATTGGTATGCACCACCAGAAAAACCTCACTTTTGCTTTTCAGCTTACTCCCCAATAAGCTGCAGTATTACTAGCAAACAACACTCGCCACCCAGAAGGGCATGGCTGTGACAATCTGCAGGATAGAGTAAGCGTCCACCATCCATTCAAGCTCGTCATAAAGAGCTGTTTCCCAAGGCTCTAAAGTGGCAAGGAAATCCTCAAATGATGTCGTTGTGGGTGGTAGTGGACGAGCAGGAATGCCTGCTGTGAAACCACTACCAACGACCACTGTCTCACGCCTATTGAATAGAGTCAGATCCAATACTCGCCGTTTTCCAAAGTCTGGTTGAACAGAGGTGCAAGATCGGGGGAAGTAGGGGTCCAGTGGCACAGAGTTGTGTAGGATGCTTGCGTCCAGGTAGGTCGCATCTCCGAACTCCCAGCGATGCACTGTCCGGTCCTTGTTCGGAACTGGATGTTGGAACATCCAGAATTTGGACTCTTCATTATCAACTTGTTGATAGATGACGTTGGCATCGACTTCGTAGAAGAACCTGTGGCGCATCCGGAGCTTGTCAGCAGAGACGAGCCACCTCCCCAGGGGTACATCCAACGTCAGATTCGGAGCGAACAGGGATATTGCTTTCCTCCACAACCACCAAGTCCTGGGATCCTTGGGTTGATCTTGAAACCTTTTGAAGTAGGTGGTGTGAGGACTCAGAGGACTGGAAAAGCCATGCCAGAACTCCTCCCGGATGTAGGTGCCACGTGCAGTAGTGATGTCCGCGACTGTGACAACTTGGAAGTAAAGGCGCACATAGTTGATCCGTTTCAGATTGGCCTCGGAGAAATTCCCGTACCACTCAACCCAATCCATAATGTAGTAGTCGTGCTCACGCTGCAACGGGGGAATGTGAGTGTTGTGCACTTCAATGGTACCTCCAACGGAGTGAAGGAACCTCCGCATGCATTGAAACAGCCTGACTGGGAGATGACAATCGATTTCAGGATGGGCCGGCCGATTCTGGCATGGAATTGCAACCATGCGTATGTGACTTCACTTAGATCTCCAATGTCGGTGCACCTGGTCCTCCAGTGCTTTAAGAACTGCTGGATGACCCCAATTCCTTGCTTGTCGGCGAGTCGGAACATTTCGATTCTGCCCAGTTTCCAAGATCCATAGCATATGACCTTGGCAGTGTTCGCTCGGTACCCCATCTTCTGAAGTGCAGCTCGGCGTGGAGCCGACTCAATGGTATCAAGATCAACATCCTTGAAGAAAGTGGTCTCCAAGCAGTAAACCACACTTGAAAGGAGAATGATGCGATAAAACATATTGGCTTCCCGTCGATTCAGCGGGGACCCTTTCAGAACCCTTGTGTAGTGGTTGCATTTCTTGATCAGGGCTGCTTTCTGTGCTGTGAGAGTTCCAGCCGGGCCTTTGAAGCACCCCAGCGACTTGTAGTCGTTGTAGTTGTCGACAGGTTTGATTGGCGTGATGATCCCATCAGTGGATTTCACCGTGATTGTTGGTGTAAAGTCAGTCCCCGAGACCAGCTTTGGTTCGCCACTGGATCTGAATTTATATTGGAGGTGGTGGAAGGAACACTTCGAAGCTTCGAGCTTTCCACCTGATGACCAAAGGAGGTCATTCCACCATTGGGCATCCTTTGTAGCCTTTCCAATATGGTCCTCCACTGAGGGAATTTCATTGGATAAGAAGCAGTTCGTTCGGGAGTTGGTATCGTCTACGAACCCTGTCATGAACAATTGAACTTGCTTGGAGCCGTCTGTGCTAGTATAGGTGGTGCCAGTCGTATAGGGCTCAAAGCAATCGAACAGTGTACTTGAGATGAACAGCCATAAGGCTGGGGAGTTTCCAGCTCCTTGTCCAGACCCGTGCCAGGGATCCGCCTCGGTGTGCCCCAAAAACGCGACTGATGTTCCCAGAGTGGTCTTGATATGGTACTGGGCTTGTTCCAGATTCATTCCATTCATTTTGCTTGCAGACCCGCACGGGCATACCCATCTTGCGGCTTGCAAGACTGGCAATGTACATGAGAATCCTGTCGTAGCACGCGGCCGCATCATTATCATTCTTGATCAGGGGGTGGAGGCAACACTTGGAGACTTCATATTCCAGCTCTTCCATGTAGCAGAGGTCGATGGCAGATCTCCCCAGAACCGACCCAAATTGCCGTTTGTTGATGATCCCTTGCTTAGTTGCGTGGTGGAGCAATTCTCGCCACTTGGCTCCCAGAAGCAAGATATAATCGGCCTCGAAAATATGGATGACTCGCAGGCGATGGATTTTGCAACCACCCTCATCCTTGGGGATGAGGGTATTGATGATTTTGTTCCACCGTGAGTAAGCAAAGCCCTGTTCAAGGGCAAAGTTTAGGAGCCGAAAGTGGGCCTGCTTGATCCTGGTTTGAAACTCTGCCGGTTCCTTTCCTTCCTCGGACTCCGGGTCAAGACTGTGTTCCGCAAAAAGGCATTTCCAATGGCCGAGATGTTGTCCAGAGGGAGAGGTGGTAGTGCGTTCATTCCAGCTTTTGAGTTTCCCATCGGACTGTTCCTCTGTCATGTTGCTGGAATCTCCCCATCGCAAGCCCGAGCCTGATGCCGAAGGAGGACTGCTGTAGTAAACGACGTTTCGAATGGACAAATGTCGTGTTCACCGTCAAGGATTGCATCCGCAGTAGCAGTACTGGCAGAGAAGTCGGTATCTGTTCGCAGTGTTGAGTCGGTTCGGAACTCCGTTTCCTCAGCCTGCCGAAAATGCTTTTTGAGGTGAGCCTGGAGATGGCGTTCAATTTCCTCAGGATCCTCAACATACATCCAGTCTTGACACTGTTTGGGCGGCACTGATGGATCCCGGGGGACTTCCAAGGCTGTGAGTCCGGCACCATGGCATTTACCACGTGGGTGGGCACACTTTTGCCATGCCCTTCAAGTGGCTTCCGGGTTGCGCAAGTGCTTCATCACATTAGCCAACCTGGTGTCACCTTCGGACTCGTATTGTGCTTGGAGTTCCATTTGGTACTCCTGGCGCAACTTGTGGGTTCTCCACTCGTCAACCTCTGCGGCACGAAGTTCCTTGCGGGCTTGGTTCTTCCGTTTCTTGCAGTCATCCAACGATGTTGGTAGTTCAAAGGCAGGGTCGGAGATCTGCTCCATTCGGAGTCGAATCTGATTGGTAATGTCGTGCTTGCATTGGAGTGCATGTAGGGCCATCGTCAAGACTTGGAACTTCAAGCGTAACTGGGTCAGCGCCGGGGAGCTGGGAATGGGCGATAGTCACAAGTTGGATCCATTGGTCTAGTGATAGTCAACAGTCTACAGCGGGATCGGTTGGGATTGATAGTGATGATTCTTGGAGTTGCCGAATCAGACTGCATCGTGGTTGAGCTCCTCTGCTGGTCAACCTGAACTGTAGTGGTTGGAGATGGATGAGTGGTCGAAGGTTTTGTGGACTCGAAAGGCTGCTGTGGTGGTGTCTTGGTTGTGGATACCATGGTACCCAATGCGTCGGTCATTTCCTGTTTGCTGGTAGCATCGACACACAGCAGTTTGATGACATCCAAGGTTTCATGACATTGGGGACGGTGAATGGGAGGTGCTGTTGGAACCCTAGTAACAGAGTTGTCATCAGAGGAAGCGGTTGCCGTAAGATCATCATTCAGTTCCTGTTTCCGTGCGGAGTCTTGAAGGTGTTGGATGGCTTCGTTGATCTCATCTTCAGTGTGAGCTATGGCTTCAGACTCCAACGTGGACCCATTCGGTGACAACCGGAGTGTCAAAGGAGATGTCACTCGGATTCCCGTGTAGCAAGGACCCTGCAATGGAATGAATTTCAGACACACAGTGCAGTAGTGCAGGGATGCTAGAACTATTTCTTGGTTCCCCGGTGGCATATCAGAGGAATGGCTCGAAGACATCACTTGAGGATCGACAATGGAGCCGCAGTGAGGACAAGGCATGGAAGGAACTGGTTGTGCTTCCAAAGACTTGGGACCGCTGAAATTCCTGTTGATCGTTGATAAGCAGCAGTTTGGTGATGTCAGAACCAGTGCCTATGAGATTTTTCTGGTCATCGACTTTGTCATGGCGCATGGTGATGGTGTTGTCGACCGTGGCATTAGCTCGTGTGTTGACTTCATCACGAATCTCAACCAGCACATGATTGCTAGCAGGCGATGCGCTCGGAAGTACAAGGTGTTGGTTCGAAACAGTATCACTGGACTTGATGTTGCCCGTCGACTCACAGGTTACCACAGAAGAGATCAAGGGTATTGGTACTGACGAAGCATCGCGATTGGCCCCGTTATAATTGACAATGTGATCAGATTCATCTCTTGTCAACGCCGACTTGACGCTGGTCGTGTTCTTGATTGAATGGATGTCGTTCGAAGCATGATAATTGCTGGGATTGGAAAGGGTAGTGCTTCGGATACCAAGTGATTCGGTTGTTGCTGTTTGTCGGCTGTTGAGAAATTGCTGAATGGATTGCTTGAGGCGAAACTTAGATCGTGGTTTGATTAAGGAAGCAGAGTTCTCGGAACTGGTGTGGTTCCCTCCCATCACATGTTGGAACCGGGTATCTTAGCGGCATCCATTTTCGTGTTCTCTTGGGTTCGAGTTGTTGGAGTATGATCCGTCCGCCGGTTGTTCAGCACATTAATATACGTGTCGTGTGTTGTGGTCGTGGTCGTAGTCGTGGTAGTGGTTGTAGGAGACAACATCGATTGCTTTGCGTTGTGCTCTACCTGTGTCAAATTCGGCCACATGGCGTTGTTGGGAAGGAGATCAAACGATGAATTTCCTTTCTTCTTTTGGTTCGTTTGTCCTCTTTTATGCGTTCGTATCTTCGGCTGTTTGGATTTGGCAGTGGTATTCGATTCCCAAATTGCCGGGGAAACTCGTTGGGTTGCGAGGATCGGTGGCAATGGCAATGGTTGAATAGCTGTGATGTTTCGTGACGATTTATGTCGTGCCTGTTTCTTGGTGGATAATGTCGAAGTGTTTGCAGACTGCTCCGGTTTTAGATTTCTCCTCTGCGGCATTGTGGAATGCTCCTCTCCCGTTATGGATGCCGTGCCCATTGTGTCTAGGGTGTTGACCGACGAAGCATCATCATCCTTGTTTGGGCAGGTGGCATTTTGTAGTAGCCAGAAATCAGTTGTTGCGAGTGCCAGAAAACTATTGTCATTGTTAACTCCCTCTCGCTTAATTTTGGTTGATGTGGCTTGCTGTTGGCTCCAAGTCTTTTTGCCAGTTTGAACAGGTTGAAATCCATCATCGAATATGGTTGGATGCATCTCAAAAGAAGGGTGGTAGCAGTGGCTCATGGTGAATGACCGTGCACTTCCAGTCTTGTTGACAAGTGTTTTCGATGGTTTCAAAGTATTATCTCCTGGTTTCTGTGGTGGTGGTTGTCCTGTAGGCAATACACTAGAGCTCCTGCAGTGGAACAATGAATTGACTGATGCGTTCTGCGTCGAAAGGAACCGAAAGGCGCCATGGTGGCTCTTTTCGTTTCGCGTGAAGTAAAAACTGGCAACTTTACTATAGAATAAAGAGTACAAATCTTAGAAGCAGTGCACGTCCAAAAAGGGTGATTCCAGTTCGCTCGGATCTGGAATTGTGTACCACTGTCTCACGCTTATTGAATAGAGTCAGATCCAATACTCGCCGTTTTCCAGAGTCTGGTTGGACAGAGGTGCAAGATCGGGGGAAGTAGGGGTCCAGTGGCACAGAGTTGTGTAGGATGCTTGCGTCCAGGTAGGACTCATCTCTGAACTCCCAATGATGAACTGTCCGTTCCTTATTCGGAACTGGATGTTGGAACATCCAGAATTTGGACTCTTCATTATCAACTTGCTGATAGACGACGTTGGCATCGACCTCGTAAAAGAACCTGTGGTGCATGCGGAGTTTGTCAGCAGAGACGAGCCACCTCCCCAGGGGTACATCCAACGTCAGATTCGGAGCAAACAGGGATAACGCTTTCCTCCACAACCACCAAGTCCTGGGATCCTTGGGTCGATCTTGAAACCTTTTGAAGTAGGTTATCATGCCAGAACTCCTCCCGGATGTAGGTGCCACATGCAGTAGTGATGTCCGCGACTGTGACAACTTGGAAGTAAAGGCGCACATAGTTGATCCGTTTCAGATCTGCCTCAGAGAAATTCCCGTACCACCCAACCCAATCCATAATGTAGGAGTCGTGCTCACGCTGCAACGGGGGAATGTGAGCGTTGTGCACTTCAATGGTGTCTCCAACGGAGTGAAGGAACCTCCGCATGCATTGAAACAGCCTGACTGGGAGATGACAATCGATTTCGAGATCCTCAAGGATGGGCCGGCCGATTCTGGCATGGAATTGCAACCATGCGTATGTGACTTCACTTAGATCTCCGATGTTGGTGCACCTGGTCCTCCAGTGCTTTAAGAACTGCTGGATGACCCCAATTCCCTGCTTGTCGGCGAGTCGGAACATTTCGATTCTGCCCAGTTTCCAAGATCCATAGCATATGACCTTGGCAGTGTTCGCTCGGTACCCCATCTTCTGAAGTGCAGCTCGGCGTTGAGCCGACTCAATGGTATCAAGATCAACATCCTTGAAGAACGTGGTCTCCAAGCAGTAACCCACACTCAAAAGGAAAATGCTGCGATAAAATAAAAAAAACGAGATTTTATTTTAAAGGCTACACCTCGTCAGACGATCCGCTGAACGATGCCGTGACGAACCCATATACCTCAGGGGCACAAGTGCGCCCACTTAGGATGGGCCTAGTGTAAGCCCCCCACCGGAGAAATTTAACAAAACTCCGGAGGGTGCTGTACGACTAACTAGCTACCCTTGGCTGGATTGCCATCTATATCTACGATAAGACCCCCTCTGTGCGTAGTTACCCTGTGTCATTGTTCTGCACGGTGCGTGCATGCTCGTCCCTGAGTGCCTTGTCGACGACGGGCAGCCAATTGGCAAGCCACGCTTTGATGTCGCCTGGGCCCTTTGCCATTTGCTCGTCAAGCGGTCGCTTGAAGATAAAATCCACCAGCTCCGCTGGGATCAGATCCGCTTTCTCGTAAATGAGTTCCACCTCCCGCTGAAGCTGTTCGTGCTTCTTCTTCCACTGGTCTTCCCTGTCTTTGCCATGCCTGGCAGCATTTCGATCCTCCCACAGGTTCCACCACTGCTTGATGAGCAGTGAGGCTAGGTTGGTGACCCAGAGCTGTCCGGTCTTGGTGGGCTCCTGGGAGCCGACCCGATGCAGATATGCATCTTGATGCTTAGCCCAGTGTGTGGACAAACGTCCTCTCAGGAAGTTGTCCCAACCAATGAGATTTTGAGTGTCAACGAGGTCCCTATACCTGTCAGGGTAATGCCATGGGTGGAGGAATCGATCTTCAAAGTTGTATTGTAGTCCATCCAGAGCAATTTCCAGGAGGAAGGGGTCGGTGGAATCCTTGCGCAACTTTGTGCTGATCGCTCGTTGCATGGTCCCTCGCCACAAATCCACGTCAACATGCGGGCATCGGTAAACATGGATTTCAGTCTCGTGATCACCGCCACAACGGGGACAGTGGTGATCATACTTGGGGTCATCCCGGTGGATCCGTTTCCCAACTGGCAACAATTGAAATAGAAACTTCACAATTGTCGGTTTGTGGATCTCGTGACGGTTGACAGCTCGACCATGGGCTGTCCAATCAACCAGTGCAGGGGTGTCCTCGTCCCAGCCGGGATTCAGTTTGACAATGTGGTCGAACAGAGGCTGGTCGTTCCTGAGATGCCGCAGTGTTCTGGGAAGCTTGTATGTGCATGTTCCTCTGGGAAGGTGCAGCTGGGCCAGGTTTGCCGGAAATCGGAGTACCTTGGAGTGATCCTGTGTCACGTGTCTGTTCATGTAACTGCCTGCCAGTTTGTCAGCTCTGCAATTCAGTTGTGCTTTTAGGGGTAGTGTTTCGATGGCCTTGTGCTTGTCCTGGTGCGATTTGATGTGCTCCATCTTGGGCACTGTGACTGCAGCCCGGAACGAATCCTCGATCTGCTGCAAGACATCCCAGTCGGAGTTCAACGAATCATTGGGGTACCAGCCCTCGTACTCGAGACAGCTAGCGCACTTATTCGTCACAGATTCATTGTCGCATAAGTGTGCATAATTCTTCATGCTGGTCTGATCGTAAAACTCCAGCAATCGTCGAAGAAGGCAAGTAGGGGATAGAATGCCATAGGCCTCCGCCCTGTATGAAGTCGGAACCATACCAAAACTGGACCAGAGCACCGAAGCACAATTTGGCCGCGGTTGTCTGCCAGGACCCATGCAAAACTCGCCTTACCGGCTTCAATGTCTGCAGCCCCATCGCTGGCCACCCAGAAGGGCATGGCTGTGACAATTTGCAGGACTGAGTAGGCGTCCACCATCCATTCAAGCTCGTCATAAAGAGCTGTTTCCCAAGGCTCCAAAGTGGCAAGGAAATCCTCAAATGTTGTCGGTGTGGGTGGTAGTGGACGAGCAGGAATGCCTGCTGTGAAACCACTACCAACGACCACTGTCTCACGCTTGTTGAAGAGGGTCAGGTCTAGGACTCGCCGCTTTCCAGAGTCTGGCTGGACAGAGGTGCAAGATCGGGGGAAGTGGGGATCAGTGGCACCGAGTTGTGTAGGATGCTGGCGTCCAGGTAGTCTCATCTCCGAACTCCAGCGATGAACTGTCCGTTCTTGTTCGGGACTGGATGTTGGAACATCCAGAATTGGACTCTTCATTGTCAACTTGTTGATAGACGACGTTGGCATCGACTTCGTAGAAGAACCTGTGGGCATCGGAGCTTGTCAGAAGAGACGAGCACCTCCCCAGGGGTACATCAAACGTCAGATTCGGAGCGAAAAGGGATAACGCTTTCCCCCACAACCACCAAGTCCTGGGATCCTGGGTCGATCTTGAAATCCTTGAAGTAGGTGGTGAGGCATCAGGGACTGGAAAACCATGCCAGAACTCTCCCGGATGTATGTGCCCAATGCCGTTGTGATGTCAGCTACCGGACAACTTGGAAGTAAAGACGCACATAGTTGATCCGTTTCAGTCTGCCTCGAGAAATTCCATACCACCCACCCAATCCATAATGTAGGAGTCTTGCTCGCGCTGCAACGGCGGAATGTGAGCGTTGTGCACTTCAATCGTGCCTCCAATGGATTTAAGGAACCTCCGCATGCATTGGAACAGCCCGACTGGGAGATGACAATCGATTTCGAGATCCTCAAGGATGGGCCGGCCAATTCCGGCATGGAATTGCAACCATGCGTAAGTGACTTCACTTAGGTCTCCAATGTCGGTGCACCTCATCCTCCAGTGCTTTAAGAACTGCTGGATGACCCCGATTCCCTGCTTGTCGGCGAGTCGAAACATTTCGATTCTGCCCAGTTTCCAAGATCCATAGCATATGACCTTGGCAGTGTTCGCTCGGTACCCCATCTTCTGAAGTGCAGCTCGGCGTGGAGCCGACTCAATGGTATCAAGATCAACATCCTTGAAGAAAGTGGTCTCCAAGCAGTAACCCACACTTGAAAGGAAAATGCTGCGATAAAACATATTGGCTTTCCGTCGATTCAGCGGGGAACCTTTCAGAACCCTTGTGTAGTGGTTGCATTTCTTGATCAGGGCTGCTTTCTGTGCTGTGAGAGTTCCAGCCGGGCCTTTGAAGCACCCCAGCGACTTGTAGTCGTTGTAGTTGTCGACAGGTCTGATCGGCGTGACAATACCATCAGTGGATTTCACCGTGATTGTTGGTGTAAAGTCAGTCCCCGAGACCAGCTTTGGTTCGCCACTGGATCTGAATTCATATCGGAGGTGGTGGAAGGAACACTTCGAAGCTTCGAGCTTTCCACCTGAGAGGTCATTCCACCATTGGGCTTCCTTTGTAGCCTTTCCAATAAGGTCCTCCATTGAGGGAATTTCATTGGATAAGAAGCAGTTCGTTCGGGAGTTGGTATCGTCTACGAACCCTGTCATGAACAATTGAACTTGCTTGGAGCCGTCTGGGCTAGTAAAGGTGGCGCCAGTCGCATAGGGGTCAAAGCAATCGAATAGTGTACTTGAGATGAACAGCCATAAGGCCGGGGAGTTTCCACCTCCTTGTCCAGACCCGTGCCAGGGATCCGCCTCAGTGTGCCCCAAAAATGTGACTGATGTTCCCAGAGTGGTCTTGATATGGTATTGGGCTTGTTCCAGATTCATTCCATTCACTTTGCAGACCCGCACGGGCATACCCATCTTGCGGCTTGCAAGACTGGCAATGTACATGAGAATCCTGT